CTATAATTTCGCTCTATATAAAATATATAGCCGATTTCAGCAATTAAATATCGAAATTTTAACTACAAACATATCAAATCTTTCTTGCACTACAAGACTAAATATTTTGAAATCTATGTTCCAAATCTTAGCAAAAAAGGCCGCTCACAAACCACATCAATTAATTAGAAATAGAGAAGTAATAATATTTATCTGAAAATGACAAATTTTTCTAATAGAGCTTTGGTATCGATTTCTTGTTAATTGTTTAATCTTTATATTTTGATTTCGTATCACTCTTAGTAGAACGGTACAACTATTAATCAAAATTATCTCAAGACGACATAAAAAGTTGTCTTGTAGTAGTAGTATATTGCCAAAAAAAAATTCAACTTGTGCTTAAGGCAAAAATAATATATTATTGAATTTGTATATTCGTAGAAGTTATCATCACAAAATAATTAAAATTAAAACCAAAGAACAAAAGGGCCCATTACTTCACTGCACTCACCAAAATATATCACACAAAACATCTCTCTCCACACACACAACAAATCAACAACCAAACAGTTCCATTCTCTCGTGTGGGATTACGTTAAAACCCATTAAATTAATGCTGGATGTATATAATCTGACTCTTACCCGTCAACCCGACCCACATTCCGAAACAACGGCTAAAATCACAAGGTAGCTGAAGCCGGACTTAACGGCATACATAGCCGTACGAAACGCCACCTTAGCAAGCTTATCTGCATCCGGTTTGGTGGAGGAGGCTGCGTCAGAGCACCGAGTGAGCCACTCAGCTAAGAACGCCAAAAAGAAGACGAAGATCATTGGCCGAGAGCATACTTTGAACGGCTAGAACCAGGCCATCCCGGGAAAGGCATTTCGCAGTCTGCGTTTGCGTTTGCGTTGTGATAGTGTTCCATGCCTCTACTACGACGACGTTTGTAGTAGACAACATCTCCTTTAATTTGGCGGAAAAGAGAAGTTGAGAGAATATGAGACTCTCTGATCTCTCCTATTAAAAGTGTCTCTCTTCTTGAGAGGAAGACAGGTCCTACAAATTACATGATATGTTCATGTTATCAAGCAAACTCAAGATTTGCTAATTAGCAATATATCGGTAAAACAAGATTTGCTTGTCGGATAGTATTGTACCTGATTTTAGAATGCTCGATTTAAACATGTAAAACTCTTCCATATTTAAATACAACATTCCATCGATCCTCGTTATTTATATATATAACCTTAGCCCTCTCCTATTTTTTCGACCAAAAAGACACCACTTGTTTTACCGATATATTGCTAATTAGCAAAATTGGATATTTAATTAAGTGTATAAAATTTTTAAAAAACCAATGATGGATAATTTAAAGAGAGTGTGACGTGTGGAAGGAAGTAGTAACTGAAACTAGAAAGTGTGGTCGAACTTTAGATCAATTGATCTTGTCTTTTCGGTTTTCCATAACACATAAATGCATTATTAGGAGCATCAAAGGTAATTTAATTAATCATCTTGATGATCTCTTCTTACTTCTTACACAACATAATGTTCTTGAAATGGTAACTGTAGGGCGTGCCACTTGCTCTAGAGGGTAATTGCAGGGTGTGTCCGCTATGTCAGAGTAGGCATTTGCAACCATGACACTCTCACTTACGTGAACAACCAGTGGTGACTCTGACATGGAATTCGAAGCTTCTGATATCAAAATCCTACAAGAAAAGAGATGATTAACCAGGCAGGACTGGAACTGAATCAAAACGAATGTATGCTGCGACGAGTTTGTTCACAAAGAACATGGATTTTTCTGTAACCATAGGGCTTGTATCAACTGATTTTTGAAGTTTCCAATTAATAAAATGAATAGCCGCGACACTGAAGAAGCTTATATTAATCAAAGTTTTTTCTGATTTTTCTTCTCATTCAGGAACATTTTTGTTTTCTTATTGAGGAAGCTTATTAATCAACGTTTGATCCTGAATATGGTTTTCAAATGTTGAACGATAAATTAAAAAAAAAAAAGCCTTTAATTAGAGTTTTAAATTTCTTACTTGTTTTTTTTTTTCCTTTTATTAATTTCCTACGTTTATAATATTTTTCTCTGAAAATCTGAGTTATCTATTTTTCCTCTAACTCTTTTTCTTACGTTAGTTCGTTCGTCGAAGTTTGATCTTAGTTCTCGTCAGAATTTCAGACTCTCCGTTCTCTGATTCCGACGAGATATCCCTCTCATTGTTGAAAGGACGAGCAAGGGATCTGCTCAGATTCGGCAGGAGAACATTGAAGAAGCCGGCGGTAATGGCGAAGAGGAATTCCCGCGTCTCGGTGGCGGCGCACGATAGGGCGGTTGTCGAAATGTCTTCCATCGATCCTGAATATTCCTCCTCTTCCACCCTCCAGTAATTTCTTATTGCCTCCCTTCCTTGTTTTATAAATTTCGCCAGTGATTTTGGGAACTTCATTTTGCGTCCCAATTTTGTGTAGTGATCGCGATTCTATACTACTTTAAGGAAGTGGACGTTTTTCGCTGATGATGATGACGATTTTATGTACTCATCAGTAGAAATTGATGCAATATGGTTCGTTGCTATGATTTGTTGTTTATATTTTTCTGTTCCTAGTTCCCGTGTGAAGGGCTAGAATTCGTTTCTTATAGCACTGAAATTTCTGCTCTAAGTTTCTCCGACAGTTTGATGTACGTTAACGTCATCTAGAAATGACCGGAAATGGTCTCTTGCTTTCGTTAATCAGCCTGGTCTTTTTTTGTCTGAACTGAATCAATGGAGACGTAGGATAAAACTTTACTGCTTGGTTGAACCTGGTTTATTGTTTCCCTTGACTATCTATAAAATTTATGATTCTATAATAACATTGATATGCGTTCTGTCGCTTCGTGTACTTCTTGGTGATTTAATTTCTTGGTGATTTAATAACTAGTATTTGTGTCCTTTAATTTCTCTTTATATATAAATCAGTAAGAAACTCTCTTTCATCCTCCTAATGTGTAAATGCATATTTGACCTTAAACTATACTTCACACTTAAATCAATCAGCAGTTATTTGGTAGTTATTTTTCCCTCCTGGTGGCTGATTTAATGATCCAGGTATTTAATTGGAAGTCCATGACATCATAAATTCAGAACACTGGTCATAGACATAGTATCAACAGTACGGTGTTAGAATATGCATCAAAACCTTTTTAGGAATAGGAAATCTCCCGTTATGCTTTAGGAAAATTCAATGTTTCTGCTATTTTAATATGATGGCTTCCATATTGTCCTTTTGGAAGCGGAATTTTGTATGCTCACACATTTGTCTGAAATGTTTAACTGCGAGCAGTTTTTGTCCCTTTGACTTGGAATGTGATGACAAACTGTTGCATATATGTTTGACCACGAAAAGAAAAGCTCTTGAGATTTTGGGGTTACGTATGTTACATTGCTGCTTACATTCCCCTTATCCTTGGTGACAGGTGAATTTATGTTCGCGTTGGCAGATCTCTCCAGCGTTTTTATGCACGGAGACCAGTTCCTCAGAGGCAAATGTGTGATTAAGTGACATACTCATTGAAGAATATGCTGACATCTTATACACTGTCTCGCTTTATTTGTTGATCAAACGTCTCTGTAAGTTTCTCGGCCTGTGTCTCGTTGAGACTTAATGTTGCTAATTCAAACGTCATAAATGGTGAAGCTAGATGGCTTCTTGGTGCAACGCATTGGACCAAAACCTGTTTCAGTTGGTGAAGATCTCACTGTAAAGCAACTGATTTCTGGAAATTTTCGGGTCCAACCTTTGGCAATGGATGGACTAGTCACCCCATGCATTAAATTGCGAGGCACGAAACTGGATCTATGAATAATGATCATTTTCGTGTGTGGCTGTAACTAGTGGACCACTCTTCAGTCAATGAGTGGAATGGTTATCTACAAGGGTTTTTCCGTTCATCTCTTGGATGGGTTGATGAAAACGTACATTCTTGCGAAGCCACCGTCAACAAACCGTAGCACGAGTTCTCTACAAAGGAGCTTTCTTTTTTTATGTGGGTTTCTCGGATGTGTCCATTGTTCAGCATGTGAATCGAGGGAAAGTTGAGAAGTTAAAACGAGAGAGTTGAAAAATCAAGGCATGTTGAAAAGTCAACGAAAGTGTGCTGAATGCTAATAATGCAAAAGAACATTAGTGGAAAGAGTCGTTCAACGCCTCGTCTCTTCCATCTCACTTCCAAAAGATAGACCCCTTTCCAAAAAAGCTGCATCATCGTTGCCATTCTTTTATGGCTTTTCCTTCTTCCTCGTCAGTGGATCTCTCCAAACGCCAGTTCGACGTGTTTGTGAGTTTCAGAGGTGCGGACACGCGCAATTCTTTTACGTCTTACCTTCTTCAGTTCCTACACCGGAAAGGTATCGATGCTTTCTTCGATGGGAAACTCCGGCGAGGCAAGGACATCTCAGTTCTCTTTGACAGGATTGAGCAATCGAAGATGTCGATCATCGTCTTCTCAGAGAACTATGCCAACTCCACCTGGTGCTTGGAGGAACTCTGGAAGATAATGCAATGCAGGGAGAAATTCGGTCATGGGGTTATACCAATCTTCTACAAAGTCAAAAAATCTGATGTCGAGAATCAGAGAGGGAGCTTTCAAAGTCCCTTCGAGAACCCAAAAGAGAGTTTTAAGGGAGGTGATCACAAAGTTGGAGCATGGAAGGAAGCTCTAAAGACTGCTTCCAACATCTTGGGCTATGTACTTCCTGAGGAAAGGTACTAGCAAACCTAGCGTTTACTTTCTTTGGAATTGTAGTCAACCCTGAAATAGTGATTTTTTTTAAGATTCATTAGAGTCTTCCACATTGTACAGTAGAAATTGAACCAAAGATGTCTTCCACTACACTGTTTTGTTTTCAGCTACATTTTGTTCAGTCTCCACAAACTTTTTTATATATCTAACGGATTGAACTGTGCAATTGGCAGGCCGGAGAGTGAGTTTGTCGAGAAAATAGCCAAGGAGACTTTCAGGATGCTCAATGATTTGTCTCCATGTGAAATCCGTGGTTTCCCGGGGATTGAATCACGTTCAAAGGAATTGGAGGAGCTATTGGTGTTTGATAATGCAAACTGTGTCCGTACCATTGGGGTTCTTGGCATGACTGGAATCGGCAAGACAACGGTTGCTGATAGCGTATACAAAGGAAACTACCCTCAGTTCGATGGGTACTGTTTCCTTGAAGACATTGAAAACGAGTCGAAGCGGCATGGGTTACATCATTTGCATCAGCAACTCCTGTGTAAATTATTGGATGAAGAAAAGGTGGATGTCAGAGCGCATGGAAGATTGGAAGAGTTTCTAAGGAACAAGAAGTTGTTTATTGTGCTGGATAATGTCACCGAAGAAGGTCAAATAGCAGCTCTCATCGGACAGAAGGAACTGTACCGAAATGGAAGCAGGATTGTTATAACAACCAGAGACAAGAAGCTGCTGCAGAACAACACTGATGCAACATACGTAGTTCCCAGGCTAAACGACAGGGAAGCTATGGAGCTTTTCTGCCTTGGTGCATTTCCTAACGACACTTACCCGACAGAAGAGTTTTTGGATCTATCAAACAATTTTGTCTATTATGCTAAAGGACATCCCTCAGCTTTGAAGCTCCTAGGTTCAGGTCTATGCCAGAAGGATAAAACATACTGGATGGAGAAATGGGAGAAACTAAGGGTAACGCCAGACAAGGAGATTCAAAAGGAGCTGAAAAGAAGCTACGAGGAACTGGATGATGAGCAGAAGCGAATGTTTCTGGACATAGCATGTTTTTTCAGGTCAGAGAAAGCAGACTTTGTCTCCAGCATCCTGAAATCAGACCGTGGCAATGCTGCAGCTGTTATGGAAGAACTTAAAGATAAGTGCTTGGTGAACATTTCTTATAATCGGCTTGAGATGCATGATCTAATGCATACAATGGGGAAAGAAATCGGATATGAATCATCCATCAAAAGGGCTGGCAAACGTAGTAGGTTGTGGAACCACAAAGATATTCGTTATGTGCTTGAGCAAAAAACGGTGAGCTATATATATTTCATTTATTTGCTCTACGTACTTGATATGGTTCTCTGGTTTGTTTTCTGTTAACCCTTTCCCTGTGTCCTTAATCTTTTTGCATTCGCTAACAGGGGACTGAATGTGTTAGAGGCATCTTCTTGAACATGTCTAACGTGGAAAGGATCAAGCTAAGTCCTGATGTTTTCATGAGGATGTCAAATCTCAAATTCCTTAAGTTTCACAATTCTCATTGTTCTCAGTGGTGTGATAGTGACCGTAAATTTCAGTTCTGCCAAGGGCTTGATTACTTTCCGGATGAGCTTGTGTACCTTCATTGGCAGGGGTACCCTTACGAGTACCTGCCGTCAGAATTCAATCCAGAGGAACTTGTCCATCTTAACCTGCGATATAGCCACATCAGACAACTATGGGAAGATGAAAAGGTGCATCCTCGCCTATCTATTTTCGTATCTTAAAAGTTTGTTCTTTAGTTTTCCACTGATTAGTTATTTATTCGTTTTCTATGTTCCACAGAACACAGGAAATCTAAGATGGGTCGACCTCAGTCAGTCAAAAGGCTTGCTGAATTTATCAGGTTTATCCACGGCCAAAAATCTTGAAAGACTGGATCTCGAAGGCTGTACGAGTTTGGCTGTGTTGGGCCCATCTATCAAACAGATGAGCGAACTGATTTACCTGAACCTCAGAGAATGCACAAGCCTCAAGAGTCTTCTAGAGGGAATCAATTTAAAATCTCTAAAGACTCTGATCCTCAGTGGCTGCTCGAAGCTTCATGAGTTTCATATTATATCAGAAAGTATTGAATCACTTTATTTGGAAGGCTCTGCAATCGAACAAGTTGCTGAACACATCGGTAGTCTTCGCAACCTTATTTTGCTGAATCTCAAGAATTGTCGCAGGTTGAGGTATCTTCCCAACGATCTTTACAAGCTGAAATCTCTTCAAGAACTGATTCTCTCTGGCTGTTCAGCGCTGGAGCGTCTTCCACCCATCAAAGAGAAGATGGAATGCTTAGAGATATTACTCATGGATGGAACGTCCATCAAAATGACACCTGAAACGATTTGTTTGAGTAACCTCAAGGTGTTTTCGTTCTGTGGTTCTAGCATCGAGGATTCCACAGCGTCGGTATTGTTGCCTTTCTCAGGCAACTCTTGCTTATTAGACCTCTATCTCACCAATTGCAATATCAACAAATTGCCGGACAACTTTAGCTCCTTACATTCATTGCGGTGTCTATGCTTAAGCAGAAACAATATTGAGACTCTACCTGAAAGCATCGAGAAACTTTATTCTCTGATGTTGCTTGACTTGAAACATTGCCGCAAGCTCAGTTTTCTCCCTGTGCTTCCATCTAATCTACAGTACTTAGATGCTCATGGGTGTGTTTCCCTGGAAAAAGTTGCCAAAGCAGTGACGCTTCCCCTAGTAGCTGAGAGGATGCATACTACTTTCATATTCACGGATTGCTTCAAGCTGAACCGAGCTGAACAAGAAGCTATTGTAGCTCAGGCCCAACTCAAGAGTCAGCTACTGGCAAGGACATCTCTTCAACATAACCACAAGGTCCATTTTCAATTATACTCTCTCGTTCTGGTTATAACGTGATCATTCGCTCATGTTTGTATGGTTTCCAGGGAGTAGTTCTAGATCCTCTGGTTGCCGTTTGCTTTCCAGGAAGTGACGTACCCTCATGGTTCTGCCATCAGAGAATGGGATCGTCGATAGAAACTGACCTGCCTCCACACTGGTGCAACCGTAAATTTATTGGAGCTTCCCTATGTGTCATTGTCACCTTCAAGGATCATGAAGGTCAACATGCCAACCGTTTATCTGTAAGATGCAAGTGCACTTTCAAAAGTCAAAACGGTCAGTCCATCAGCTTTAGTTTCTGTCTTGGAGGATGGAACGAGTCATGTGGATCATCTTGCCATGAACCACGGAAACTTGGATGTGACCATGTGTTTATTAGTTATAACAACTGTAACGTACCACTCTTCCAATGGAGTGAAGAGAGTGATGACGGTTATAGATGTCGTCCCACTAGTGCCACATTTGAATTCTACCTTACTGATGACACTGAAAGAAAACTAGAATGCTGCAAGGTGATAAGGTGTGGGATGAGTTTGCTGTATGCTCCGGATGAGAACGACCGTGGATTCCAAGGAATACGGGCTACAGATTTTCTTGAGCGTACACCGAGTGTGCCCGTGCTAGGTTGGTCCCAGTCCCACTCACAAGTTGGAGAAAGAAGGAATGGTATAACAAAAGATGAAATCCCCTTATGAAAGGTAGAAGAATGCTTACTGGTAATTTCTTTGTTCTTGACTCTCTCTTGTAGCTTTCACAAGTATATGTTTAAAACACAATTTACACTGAAATATGAACTTGATTGCTTTTCAGATCCTTTGGTGCCTCGAAGGAGGTTTCTATATACTTTTTATGGCTTTATCCTTGGATGTGACCGGGTCGCCGCCATTTGAAGATGTTTGATGAAGTGACCACGGTACTGCAACTCTGTTGCACTTCCAAGTTCCAAGATACAAAATAGAGTATTCTTTCTCTGTTTCTCCCTTTGCATGACATGTATGCTCAGTTGCTTGATTTTGGTAGACCCACTGTTCCCCGAAGGTTCTATGTATATCCTCTCAAAATTGAAGGAGGAGAGATCCAGATTCTTGGGTGATAAGGAGATATATGGGCCAAGATTTTTTGTACTTATTTTGGCGGATATCAATAAAACCATTTTAAATTCTACGTTTCGATTCACATTGTGTGCATACCACAAAATACCAATTGATTCAAAGTTGGAAGCCTCTGAAAATTAATACATAATGTTGTCGTACAAAATACCAATCGTAACATAAAACGACAATTTAGATACGGTGGTTGTGGGTAACAAACGTTGACAAAGAAAAAAAACAATGATCGAAATTTAAACTTTTGATGATAGACATTGAAGTCATGATCAAAATGTAAATTAAACGACAACACAGTAAAAGAAAGACAATGTGGGTCTACGATAATTCTTGAATCACACAATGACTAGACAGCATACGAGTACGACGTAGGAGGGTAAGGCTGAGCTCCAGCATTGTAACCTTGAGCTCCATTATTGTAACCTTGATTGGCTTGTGGTGTGGTTGGGTAAGACGTTGGCATCGTCGACGAGCCACTAGGTCCACTGACTTTAGTTGTCCCTTGATGTCGACCCATGTAGAAGCAGGGTCAGCCTTGAAATTTTGGGGGTCTGAAACAATTTTTTATTAAAAATTATATTATTAACTATATTAATTATATGTATTATTAAAATAATTTGTTATAGTTAAAAAATATTAAAAATTTAGTTTTAAAAATAATTAATTAATTAAGTGATCAGTCTACACAACATATAAATTATAAAACATTTGATATATTCAATATGTGATTGATATAATATATTCAAGATATTTTATTTGTACATGATTAATTATGTATTAATAATAAAGTTATATAAACATTTAACAAACAATAAAAAAATAATGATAAATTAAAAGAAATATATTATAGATTTGAATAGAAATCTAAGATAAAAAAATATTAACCACGATTTTAAATTACTTTCTTAAATAAAATATGTAAATAAGAAAACTAAATAAATTGAAAAATATTAAAATATATAATAATTTGCTTAATTTTTATTTTTGGCACGTACGAATATAATTTTTCTATAGATATAATTAGTTGTAATATTTAAGTATTAATTAATTTTTTTATACATAACATAAACATTATGTTTTATACATATACAATTTTAGTGTTATCAACAAATTTTAGTGTTTATCAACAGTTACACAAATGTTTTATATCATTTTGTTCTTTTCAAAAAAAAAATTATTTTTTCTAGCGTTTACAGTAACATATAATTGCAAATTTAAATGTTACATTAAATAATAATTAAATTCTATAATAAGTTTTGAATATTATCTACATTATACTTTTTTCTTACACAATATAATTTTGCCAATATATATATGTTAAATATATATTTTTCTTAAATTTATTAATTATTTAACCAAAATAGATTTTATCATCTTTACTTATCCTAAGAGCAGATAAATAGTTGACCCGCACATTCGTTTGTACTAACCACCTCATCACTTTTAAGACGTATAAGATTTTTTTATAAAAAAATATAAATTGTCTAATAACTAAAATTAAAATTAAAGTGTAATCAAAATTAACAAAATGTATGCACGTCAAGTTCGCATGCAACTTTGACTTTTGTACAATTAATATTTATATCTACACATATATGTGAAAAAAATCAAAGTATAACTTTTATGTGTTAAAAGAAAATAACAAAGTTGTGTGGGACCGATTTTACCATATCCAAGGATAGCACGACACGTGGACATTGAACACCCTAGACACTGACATAGCTAGCTAGCTGGGCCAACAATTCCCAAATACTCTTCCCAGTCAGTTAGCGAGCTTCCTAAAACATGCATGCACCACCAATCCGCCTGCTTCTCTGGCATGCCGAATGAATAGAACAGAATGGGGAAAGCCTGTATAAAAGGAGAGAGACCCCAAGACGAAAAAGGGGGGGGGGGGGGGATCCCATGAGAAAGGAGAGAGAAGCGAGGGGAGAAAGAGAAGAGAAAAGAGAAGGAGGATGAGGCCCAGCTCGGATCCGAACAGCCCATACCGCCGAGCAGCATAATCAATCGGGGACTCCCGCTCCCCCGAGATAATGCCAAACAGGATAAGCCCTTCTTTAACTTGGAACTCTGCCTTTATACTCTCTAAATCCCTCATTATTAATATAGAACCCTTCCTAAACACACGCAAACAGACAGATACCTCGATCCCCGAACGAGATATCTAACCCAAACTCGTAGAAATACCCTCTTTAGTATATGTGCCCGGTAGGGCGTTCATTGACTTGGGCATCAGAGAATCTTCGGGAGGGAACCCCTATTTCTGTCCTCCCGAAGGCCCGACTGACCTCTTGTATAGTATCTGTAGGCTCATATATGTCTTCTCCCGTGCTCGCAGGACCCAAACCGGCTTCCACCTCGGAATGACTCGTCGTCTTTTCCATCAGAGGACAAAACTCGGAGGCACGCACTCTCCGAAAAAATGATACACCTCCATGTGGCATTTCAAAATATGCTCGCAAACAGTTGGCGCTTGAAGGAGGGGGGATCACCGGCGAGCGTTCCACGAATGAAGCAATTTACCCAGCTTAACAGCGCGAAGAGCAAGTGCCATAGGGGCCTGCGAGCTACGCGGCGTGACCCTACTCTATATGACTCAGAACTCCGGAGCCTTCGCGTGTACTGACCCCGAAGTCAAGAAGTCAGATCCGCCGCCAAACAAAGCAAAAATATGAGAAAAGCGTAGAAAGACAAAAGATGTGCAAAGTAAATTGAAGTGCAATGAAAAAGACCAGAAAAGCGACCGTCGGTGCAAAATTACGAGAATATATTTTACAAGGGACAAAAAAAAAAGATTGACTGAATTAAAAACCCGACGGGTGAGAAGATTCTGCCAATGAAGAAGGGTCTGCGCCTCCCAAGCCTCTCATTCCCCCAAGAGCTTCCGCCCCCGAGATCCGTTCCGCCAACGCTCTTGCTGAAGCTCCCGCCTGAGTAGGTCGATCGTTGTCTGGCTATTTGAGAAGGCTTCTACCGCCATCAGTGAAATATCAGTCTCGGTGTCCGGAATAAACCCTTCGATACACTGTAAGAGTCTTGCGAATTATCCGCACCTCAAAGTTAAAGGTCTCTAAATCCCGTTGGCTATCCGCTAGTGCAACCGTCATGCGCCTAGACTCCGCGCTCAGATCTTCCCCCTGGGCAGAAGTCTGCGCCTTTACAAGTTGGTCCAAGGTCACAAGCAGTTTGGCTTGAAACTCGCAAACCCTATCAGAAAATCTGCATTCACGATGCTCTACTACATGAAGTTCGTGCTGCAGTATTTCGAGCGACTTGAGAGTCTACAAGGCCGTAAAAGTCACAAACCACCGAATGGAAAAGAAAACATCTAAGGATCAAAGAATAATCTTACCGCGTCCAGTGAGCGGATCAGCTCTGAAATGATCAGCTACCACCCGGAAAGTTGAAAAGACGAAGGAGACCCCGGGGGAGGAGGCACGAATATGGGCTCCAACTCAGAGAAGATGCTTATTACCCTCAATGAACCTGCCGCAGAAGGAGACGCTTATCACCCTCAATGAACCTGCCGTATAAGGGGTCAGGGGCACAAATCGCACGGTTCCAGAGACCCCTGGAATCCCTACCGTTTGAGGAGATCTCACCACACTCAAAATCTCATAGCCGACAGAAGAATCAGAATTCGTGGAGGTCGAGAGGGATTATAGCGGCCCGGTGCAGACCAAAGAAGGACTGGTACTCAGTGCTACCTCGGCGGGAGGTTTGATGCAGTGTCTCCGGCGTGAAGGCTGGGCTGATGCCTCCCCAGCAGGAAAATTGGCACAGCGCCTCCAGCGCGATGACTATGCAGACGCCCTTCTTGTGCTTCGGGTGAGCCTCAAGTCGGATCGCCGACCCCCGGGGGCATATAGATACCACACCTCCTCGATTCAGCGCAAGTGACCTGTCAAGTCAAAGTTAGCAAACGGCATAGTGAGGAGGTCTCAGCCGTTACTTGGAGGGTCAAGCGTCAGCGAGACAGGAGGATGAGAGAGCTCGCCATGATACTCACCGGCGATAGCAAAAAGTCAAACAACCTGAAACGCTTGTCTAATGCGAACTGTTGGTTCAGTTCGACCTGCTCGAAGGGGGATGTGGTGACAGAGCCTGAAAAAACGCAAAAAACACCAATCGGGAGTCAGATCGAGTGACCAAGGCAAACACGAAAGAAAAGAGGTGGCGATCAACGAATTTACTTGGTGGATACCAGGTGAGTGAGTCGTTGACATCATCCAGCAACCTCCTGAAGATGTACCGCTCCCGCCAACTATGGCTCCCAGAACGGTCCCCGAGAATAGGAATGTTGCAGCCGTCTCTAGTTTGCAGGGTATAGTGGAGAGCATCGACAATGAGGTTGCAGAGCTGGTAGGACAGCAACAACATATAGCCACGGAGGGCAATCCGCTCGGTCTCCCCCAATGGGGAAGATGGGGCAAAGGTCGGAAGAGGAAGGGTCATTCATCCTCAGAACCCTCTTCAGAGAGTCTGGCGTGCACAATGACGAAGGCCGGTCGAAGGGCGAAGCAGCCACAGGCGTTTGAGCCATGCTTTGAACCTCGCCATCAAACCATGAAAAACATGCACAGTATTTGCTGGATTACGAACTCGCTACTGACATCTCTATTGAATGAGAAGAGAGATAAGACATGAAAGGAAACTCTATGAAAAAGGTAGGAAATCTGCGAGTTGCTTCGGAAATGGAGTAAGACAACAAAGGCGTGGATTTCATGGACCGGTTTTACCACATCTAAGGATAGCACGACATGTGGACAACTACCCTAGACACTGACATAGCTATAGCTCGGCCAATAACTCTCGAATACTGTTCACAGGCAGTTAGCGAGCTTCCCAAACTACGCATGCACCACCAACCGCTTGCTCCTCTGGCACACCGAATGGATAGGACAGGACGAGAAAGACTTGTATAAGAGGAGAGAGACGCCAAGACAAAGAGGGGGGATCCCCTGAGAAAGGAGAGAGGAGCGAGGGGAGAAAAAGAAGAGAAGAGAGAAGGAGGATGAGGCCAAGCTCCAATCCAAACAGTCCATACCGCTGAGCAGCATAATCAAATGGGGACTCCCGCTCCCCCGAGATAATGCCAAACAGGATAAGCCCCTCTTT